GGTGCTCCAAGCCCTGCCAATCACTGTCAACACAACTTGGATGTTATGCTAAACGTATGTCACGATCTGGGTTTCTCTGTAAATCCAAAGAAAACAGTTCAACCATGTACAAACTTAGAACTGTTAGGAATCGAACTTGACACTATCACCCTTCAAGCTCGCATATCAGAAACGCGCCTCAAAGAGACAATTGATTTACTCTCAACATGGCAAAGTCGCACTTCCTGTAGAAAACGGGAACTTCAATCTCTGATTGGAAAGCTGAATTTCATCTGTTTCGTTTGTCGTCCAGGGAGAACGTTTCTTCGACGAATGATTGACCTTCTAACAACTGTCAAACACTCTACTCATCACCTTCGTTTAAATAAACGATTCTTCAAGGACGTCAAATGGTGGTTAACCTTTCTTCGCGATTGGAATGGCCGCAGCCTCTTCTACGGCGATCAGTGGCTCACCAACGACTGCTTACATCTGTACACAGATGCATGCACTAGCTCCTTTGGTGGACTATTTGGTAATCGGTGGTTTTGTGGAACATTTGAAGCGGTGGGAGTCCCTAATCGCCGCTCCATAACCTTCAAAGAGTTATTCGCAATCACCATGGCAATCACTATATGGTCGTCCCAGCTTGAAACTCAAAATATCATCTTTCATTGCGACAACAAGGCTGTGATCGATATTATCGCGTCCGGCTCTAGTAAATGTCGACATATCATGTCACTCATGCGCTATCTATTCTACGTGTGTAGCAAATCTAACATAATTCTCAAAGCTGTTCATATACCGGGAATTGACAATGCTCCATCTGACGCTTTGTCTCGTTTGCAGGTATCTCGCTTCAAGCAACTCGTCCCAGAAGCACAGGCTTGTCCCACTCCGATCAGGCGTCTGAACTTAGATACCTTCAAGTAAAAGCCAATGAATATTTCCACAGTGGACTGGCTAATAACACTCATCGAACTTACTCTTCAGCTCAACGTCAATATTTAGAATTTTGTGATAAACATAGACTCAAAGCACTACCTGGAGATGAAACCACTTTGATACTCTTCATTACGCATCTAGCACAACGAATTAAACCCCAAAGTATTAAAGTATACACGGCTGGAGTTCGCGCACTGCATATCAGCAATGGCTACCACAACCCTTTAACTAATACTATAAAACTACAACAGACATTACGAGGAATAGAAAGGAAACACTTTTCGCCAGTAAAACAAAAACTACCCATAACATTTGACCTACTCTGTAAAATGTACACTTTCATCGACCTAGCAAACCCGGATGATACTGTTTACTGGTCGGCTATGACAATGGCTCATTTTCTATTACTACGGGCCAGCGAATTCATGATAACCGATTCTTCAGATCCTATGCTTACACTCAGCGACGTTAACATTGCAACAGGCCATTTGCAGCAATTGATCACGTGTCAATTTGCCCCATAGCAACAAGCCCGTGGTGGGCAAGCTAACCACGCATTCCTTGACAACAATAAGACTTTGAGTGGCGAAGCTTAGCGATAC